AACAATGTATGAATGGAAATTCAAAGTCTCTGTAAATTTTCATTGAAATTAATAATAAATTAAAAAAAAACACAAAACCCCCAAACCTCTTACTGTTATCAAGTTGGAGCCAACTATAAGCTGACCTTCCTGTGGATTTTTAGAAGTTGTAAAGTGCACAGGAGGAGATTGACTCTCTGTCTTGCAAGTGCCGCTGGTGGGTTTGAACTGTCTGACTTAGAGTTGCCAGTACAACTCCTTACGAGGCCACTAGAGCTCTCTTTTTAGTTACTGTTGTATGCACCATTGAGTCAGAGCGGACTCCTCGCTGGGCCTCTGGTGGGTTTTCAGAGGCAGTGAATCACACTGCAGGAGAGTGTCTCTCTTCCACGGAGCTGCTGGTGGATTCAAACCACACACCTTTTGGGTTGGCAGCATAAATCCTTACTGTGAAGCTACCAGAGCTCTTTTTTAAGTTAGTTATTAATTGCTAAGCTAGTCGAGCACGACTCATAGTGACCCTATGAACAAAAGACCTAAAGCCTTTCGGTAGCTATCATTAGATAGCTACTTGGAGTTTCTTAGAGTTTCCAGAGGCGAATTGTTTGGAGTGGATGCCACTCCTGCTTCCAATTTTAGTTAGCAGTAGTCCTGAAGTTATTTTAAGTTGATTCACTTTGAAAATTTGACCTTCTTTTGAGTAATAACCCAAGAAAACATAGGTCTGATGTTTTCTAATGCATTGAAATATCAAATTAAAATTATCAAAATAAAAAAGTGGCCTTAATACTACCTAAAAAGGTTTTTAATACCAGATTTACTTTTAAAGAACTAGTATTTTGTCTCATTTCCCAGTTCTTACTAGGAGTTTTTTTAAGGGCTCTGTAAAGCTGCACCTTTGAAGTGTCTTTGAGTTTCCAAGAATTTTTGTCTTTGTGTCCTCACTTCTCACAGAGAAATTATTAGTACTTAAGTTTGTGCAATAGAATGAATTTCCCCTTAAATATTTCCCATGTCAGTAAGAATGAACTATAAACAGTCACCTACTGATGTGCTTGAGCTCATCTCTGCTACCTGTCAGGCGAGATACTCGATCTTTGTAACCTTCTGTTCTTATTTTTAAAATGAGGCATTATTACTTATTTCATAGAGTTGATCAGAGGACTAAATAAGATAATTTATGGGAAAGGCTTAGCACTACCAGGCAGTTAGAAAGGATCCTATAAGTGATACTTTTTCAGTTATATATTTTTGATTTTTATGTATTTATAGCCTTTTGAGCCCATTCTTAGACCTGAATATTGATCATGTGCTGTGAAAATACCCCTTTAATTTTGTTCTATACCATTGAGTCAAAACTAACTGATAGCTGACCCTCCACCAGGTTTTTAGAGGCTGTAAATTGCACAGGAGGAGATTGCCCATCTTTCTTCTGATGTGGATATGGTGGATTTGAACCATGTGCCTTTGGGTTGACAGCACAACTCCTTACCATTAGGCACCAGTCCTACCTTCCCTTTTAATAATATTGATCAATCCCTGTGGTGATAAGACTAGAAAATAGGTTGCTGTTGTTGTTGTGTTGAACTGACCCATAACAGACCCTCCAGCAGGTGTTCAGAGGCAGTAAAATAGCACAAGAGGAGATTGTCCGTCTCTCTCCTGTGGAGCAGCTGATAGATTAGAACTGTGTACCAAAATAGGACCTTGAGTCTATCCCACCTGAATTTCAAAACCATCTCAGCAACAGGTTTGAGGCCTTGGACAGTAACGAGCTTAGACCAGATGAGCTGTGGGAAGATATAAAGAATATCATCCAGGAAGAATGCAAAAGGTCATTACAAAGACAGAGGAGGAAAGAAGAACCAGGATGGATGTCAGAAGAAACAATGACTAGGGATGATAGAAGGAGAGTTGATGCCTTTGAGCTTTGGTGCTGGAGAAGAGTATTGAATATACCATGGACTGCTAGGAGAACAAACAAGTTTGTCCTGGAGAGAGTGAAGCCAGGATGCTCCTTGGAGACAAGGATCTGAAGCTTCATCTGACATACTTTGGACATGTTGCAAGGCGGGATCAGTCCTTGGAGAGGGACATGATGCTTGGGAGGGTGGAGGGACAGCGCAGGAGAGGAGGACCCTCGATGAGATGGATTGATTCAATCACTGGGGTAATGGGGATAGGTGTGTTGGAGAAAATAATATTGGCAAGGGATAGAGCAGGGTTTAGGGCTGTTGTACATAGGGTCGCTATGAATCACAGGCGACGAGACGGCACAGGACAACAACAAAACAACCTTTAGGATTTCAGTGCAGTTTCTTTCCACTAGGCCACAACAGCGCCCTATAGCTGTCCAACTTATAGCTGACCCTCTGGCAGGTTTTCAGGGACAGTAAGTTGCTTGGGAGGATTTGAACGTCATGCCTTTGGGATTGCAGCACTGTTTCTTACCACTAGGCCACCGCGTCACCCACCTTGCAGAGGGTCTTCCTCTCTTCTCTGACTCCCCAGTGCTGCTAAATGCTGTTGATTCAGGCTCATAGAAGTCCTGTGTAGACCACAGAGCGAAACTCTGCGCCTGTGCCAGCCTGTCCTTTATGTTTGAGCCCATTAGAGCAGCCACTGTGTGACTGTATCCAGTTGAAGGTCTTCCCCTTTTTCTCTGGCCCTTTGCTGTACGTAAACAAGCACCCGTGTAAAGACCAAGATCTAGAGCTGCCCGGAAACGGCATCTTCATACCCCTTTCTGGTTAATAACCCTCTTCCTACCAAAGTAACTGTTTTCACTTGTTGGTATCACTTAGCTTTTCCTGTTCTTGAACTTTATATGAATGGGATCATACAATATGCACTCTTTATCTGTTTGGTCCTTCCCCCCAGACATACTCTCTAAGGTTTATCCATGTTGTTAATCCCCTTCTATTAATAGTTTGTTCTTTTATACTATCATATAGTATCTCTTCAGGAATATATAGTAAAACGTGCACAACTGACACCTATGTAATGCAGAAAACCTGTTAGACAAGGAAAAAAAATTTTTTCCTACTTTACGAGTTAAACACTGTAGAGGCTATATAGATGGCAGCAAATGTGCAAAACCAAAAAAATCCAATTCTTGTGGTTTTCTTACACTCACAGGTTTCATTGTGTTTACTGTTTTGATGTCCTTGGGCAAGTGGGTTATTTCTCATTTTGAACTATTTTGAATAAGGCTGATGGGAATGTCCTTGTATGTCTTGGTGGACTTACGCAGTTACTTTTGTTTGGTGCATACCTGCGAGTGAAATGACTGCATCATAGGTAGATTTAGTACATTTGTGAAGCAGTTTCACACAGTGGAAACCATACCACTTTATGTTCTTATCCAAATACTTGGGGAGCTATGGTGGCCTAGTGGTAAGAAGCCACAGTGTAATCTCAAAGGCACACGGTTCGAATCCACCAGCTGCTTTGGAGGAGAAAGATGGTCAGTCTGCTCCTGTGTGATTTACTGCCTCTGAAAACCCTGTTGTGGGTTGGTTCTGACTCAGTGGTATACAACAACAACAACAATACCCAGATATAGAAGAGTTTCAGGTCTCCAGATCCTTTGCTCAAGTTGTGTTGTCAGTCTTTTAAATTGTGATCATTCTGATTGATCATTCTGATAGTATCTCATTGTGGTTTTAATTTACATTTCCCTAATAAATAATAAAAAATAATAAGGAATATTTTTCATATACTTATTACCCATTTGAATATTATTTTATGAAATGCCTGTTCGTGTTTTTTGGCCCCCCCCCCTTTTTTTTACAAGAAAAACATATGTTTAAAATTAGCCAGCTGGATTCAGTTTACATGATCTCAATTTTGTTGGCAGTGTCCCAATTATGATAGTGGGGAGCAGGTCACACATGCCTGCTCTCCATCTGGCCTAATCAAGGTGTTGACCTTGATGACACTGATACCATAGACCTTCTTCCCAGCTTGTTTGATCTGGTGCTTTTTGGCCTTGACATCTGCAGTGAACCGAAGCGTGTTGCTATTTTTTTTTATCTTCTTCATGGCTGACTCAGTGGTCAGGGGAAACTTGATTGGGCATAGTGCCCAAGCTTGTTTCTTCCGAGTGGGCTCTCCTGGGTTACTTTGGCTACCTTCAGAGTCTCACTCTCCAGAGGTGGGTCTTTTTGTGTGCGTGTGGGTGGGCACCCCTTGCAGGACAGCCTTCTTGGCCTTTAACACCTTTGCTTTGGCTTCAGTTTTGGGAGGAGCAGGGGCATCCATCTTTACTTTTCATGCCATCTTTGTAAAAGCAGATTATTTTTAAAAATCAAATTGCCTTTTCCTTTCTGGCTTCAGTATTGATCCTGTATAATACCGGTATTGGCTATAGATAGTGTGAATATTTTCTTTTCTACTTTTTTTGGTATACCATCAAATTGGATCTGACTGGCACAGGAGGAGATTTACCCTCCTTCTCCAGGGGAGAATCTGGTGGATTTGAACAGTGCACCTTTGGGATTACAGAATATTCTAGGCTCTGTTGCTGTGTGCCATCAAGTCAGAACCGACTCACAGCTGACCCTCCGTGGGTTTTCAGAGGTTTTAAATCGCGTGGGAGCAAATTGGCCATCTTTCTCCCAAGTAGCAGCTGGTGGATTTGAACCTTTGTTCAGATACAGATTTATATTTGAGCTTTCATGTTGGCGGCCGAACTCCTTACCAGTCGGCCCCCACAGCTCCCTTTTATGCTCTGTTGCTACCATTTGTTGTACTGTTGTTTTGTACCGGGTTTCTCTTGTGGAGCAGCTGGTGAGTCGAACCGTGTGCCTTTGGGTTAGGAGTGCAACTTTTCATCGCTTGGCCACCAGAGCTCCCTTTTTATGCACTAGATGGTGTCTTTTAAAGAGCAGTCATCCTTCATTTAAATGAGGTCTGATTTGTCATTTTCTTTTGTAATTAGTGTTTTTTGTGTGTCCTTCATAAAGAACTCTTTGCTCTGCCTGTATTAAACATACATTTTTCTCTCTGCATGAATGCAGGTGATGCCATGGAGGGGAAAAAGCCTGGTCCAGTACAGATTGTCTGCGTTCACAAGGAGCAGCATTCCTTTGAACTAGAAGAGAAGGCCTTGGCCCAAATCCTGCTGCAGGACCACATCCGCGATCTGGACGTGGTGGTGCTGTCCGTGGCAGGAGCCTTCCGTAAGGGCAAGTCCTTCTTCCTGGACTTCATGCTGCGGTACTTGTATTTCCAGGTAAGGTAGAATGATTTAATTTCAGAAAATAGGTGAGTTTTACGTTCAAATGAACAAAATAGACTCATGGATTATACCCATGATCCTGAAGGTGCACGTAATAGGCATTTCTGTCTTGCAGAAGGAAGGTGGCCGTGCAAGCTGGTTGGGGGACCTGGAGGAACCGTTGACAGGGTTTTCGTGGCGAGGAGGCTCCGACCCTGAAACCACAGGGATTCAGATCTGGAGTGAAGTTTTCACGGTGGAGAAGCCAGGTGGGAAGAAGGTAAGGAAGAAGAGGAATTAACAGCGGAACAAATAGCCAGCAGGGAAATTTGCATTTTAAATATGTGCAGTGTGCATCAGACAATCATTCTCCCCCCTCAAAAAAAGGAATGACTGTCTTTAATTGTTAAAAAATAAGTCCTAGGTTGATCATACTCCTCTGTCTCTTTTAAGCAATATTAAGAAAGCCACTCAGACTGCATCCTCTCCCTCTTACTCTCCCGTGATAGAAGAGATGAATGATCATCACTGGCAAATGGCAGTTGCTCTGAAGCAACACCAAGAGCCAGCTTCACGCTCAGGAGAGAACACTGCGCCTCCTCACGGTTTTCGGTGCTCTACACGATTGGAGAAACTTCTCTAGAAACAAAATATAGAAATGATCCCTGAAAGTATAGTCTTCAGACAATCATTTTTATCAACATAAATAGTGAAAGTGCGTTGTTGTTGTTGTTATGTGCCATCATGTCGCTTGTGACTCATAGCGACCCTATGTACAAGAGCCCTAAACGCCATTCTTTCCTGTGCCAACCTAGCCACCTCAAACACACTCACTCCCACCACTCCACTCACAGAATCAATCCATCTCATCGAGGGTCTTCCTCGCCTGCACTGTCCCTCTACTCTGCCAAACATGATGTCCCTCTCCAAGGACCAGTCCCTCCTTGCAACATGCCCAAAGTATGTCAGACAAAGCTGCAAAATCCTTGACTCCAAGGAGCATTCTGGCTTCACCTTCTCCCAAGATAAACCTGTTTGTTCTCCTAGCAGTCCATGGTATATTCAACACTCTTCTCCAGCACCACAGCTCAAAGGCATCAATTATCTTTCTATCATCCCTATTCACTGTCCAACTCTCCAATGCATAGCACGTAATTGCGAAGACCATAGCCCGGATCAGGCGCACCTTAGTCTCCACCCTTACATTGTTGCTCTTCAGTATTCTTGAGAGATCCCTCACAGCTGACTTTCCCAATGCAATTTATCTCCTGATTTCCTGGCTGCTGTTACCAAGAGTGTTGACTGTGGAGCCAAGTAAACAAAAACTGTAGGAAGAAGGGATGGTGGTGGAGTAAGAAAAGGGTGGATAAAAACAAAACAAAACAAAACAACAACATGTAGCGGGGGTGGGCAGCAACATTGAATCTATTAGTCATTTTTATAACTGGGCAAATGTCTTTGATCTGCTGTTTTCTATGGAATGCTTGTCTGTCAGATACTAGTATGTATATATTTAAAAATTGAGACAGACTAGGAAGAAGGATTGGCCATCCACTTCTGAAATGACAGGCCTTCGAAAACCCTATGAAAGTGTGTAGTTTATGAAAATAATATCTGGACACAATTCACATGGTTAGCTAGAGCTTGAAACAACAAGTAACTACTGACAGTGGCCATGGCTTTCAGTTTTTGGAAAATGTTAATTCTGCTCTTCATCTCATTTTTGTCCGGGTTGCCCAAGTCTGGCTGTTGCTGTTTTGGGAACTGAGCAGGAAAGGGTAGTAGGGAGTCTTACTGTTTCAGGACGGCATTGACCTATGCCAGCCCTTATCAGTAACGCGTCTTCCGTCTTCCCTTGCACTGATAACCCACAGGTCTAGAGACCTACCGTCTGCAGAGCCCCTGTGGCTCAGCCTCTCCATAACCTCTGTTCTACTTTACGCTGTAGGGTTGCTGAGTCAGCACTCATCTATGTTGCTGTGTTGTGTCTTGATGCATCTCTGTATTTTTACCTTGATTTATGTTGATCTTCTTGGATGTATTTTCAGTTTTTTATAAAATTTGCATATTTTGGTAACTATTATTTCTTCAGGTAATACTTTATGTTTCTATCCTCTTTGGGGACATCTGTCCCGCAGCTCAATATTTATTTCTTTTTTAAAAAAATGTATTTAACAGTTGGTTGGGCCCTGAACAAGTCTGGTGTTAATTGTGTCTGGGATGAACATTCTTCTAAGTGGTACAGCTCTGGTCTGTCCATTTGCTGTACTGAGGTAACATGGGATTGCTGTGATGCTCAACGCAGTGCCACTGGTGTGTCAAATGCCATAATGGTTACCCATGGTAGACAGGTTTAGTGGAGCTCCCAGATTAAGATAGGCTCAGAAGCAGGAGTGGTATTGACTTCCTAAACAACAAGCCTCTGGAAACTCTATGAACTTAGAGAAATGATGCTAGTTATAGAACAGGGTTCAGGTCTTTTATACATAGGGTCACTGTGAGTTGTGCTTGACTCAACAGCACTTAACAACAGATCAATAGATTTTTTTTTTAGAACAATTAAGTTTACCGAAAAATTGAGCAGAAATTACAGAATTCTCAAATACCCTCTCCTTTGCCTGTATAATTCTTTGTTATTAATATTTTTTATTGGTGTGGTACATTTGTTTTAATTGATGAGCCAATATTGACAAATTATTATTAGCTAAAGTCAATAGATTTCATTTGTTTTCTGAAACTGTTAGTTTTTACAAATGCAAAATACCTTACATTCACCATTACAGAGCCCTGAAAAGACTTTGTGCGCCACCTGTTCACCCTTCACCTCCACAATAATCTTTTTACTGTTTCTATAGTTGTATATTTTCCAGAATATCATAAAATTGAAATGATGTACTCATGTAACCTTTTCTCATTGGCTCCTTTTGTTTCTTGTTTTTATGTGCCATCGGGTTGCCTGTAACTCCTAATGACCCTGTGTACAATAGCTCTGAACCCTGCCCTTCCCTGACTGAACTTCACTATCTCTGATACACTTACCCCATAACTCATCCAGGGCCTTCCTCTCTTACGCTCTTCCTCCACCCTTCTAAGCATGATGTTCTTCTCCAAGGACTGGTCCCTCCTGGCCACGTGGCTAAAGTGTGTGAGATGGAGCTTCAAAATCCTTGCCTCTGGGGAGCAGCTTGATTTCACTTTCTCAAGGACTGACCTGTTTGTTCTCCTTGCAGAGTACATTATGTTCAACACTCTTGTCCAGCACCACAACACAAAGATATTGATCCTTTTTCTGTAGTTCTTAGACCCTGGTCTGTATCAGGCGCACCTTAGTCTCCAGACTAACATTGTTGGTGTTCAGTCCTCCTTTCGTGTAACAGTATGCATGTAAGATTCCTCCTTGCCTTTTCATGGCTTGAGAGCTTATTTCTTTTTTTTTTTAAATTTATTTTTATTTTATTATTTGAGTTTGTGTGTACCGTCAAATCAGATCTGACTGGTACAGGAGGAGATTGTTCCTCCTTCTCCGGCAGAACATCTGGTGGATTTGAACCATGTTCCTCTGGGATTGCAGTACAGTTTCTTGCCACTAGGCCACCAGATAGATTCGAACCGCTAACGTCTGACATTGCAGTTGCAGCTTCTTGCCTCTAGGCCACCAGAGCTCCCTCGGTATTTTTATGGTTTTTAAGCCACAACTTTTTGTTGTCAAAAAGGCTGATATCTGTGGAAGGAATTGTTGGAGAAGCTGAATGTCAGCAGTCAAAATTGGACCAGATGCTGCCTGTTGAACAGACTATCAATTACTTATGTGCGAGTTCAAATTGAAGTTGAAGAAAATGAATACAAATGTGTGAGAACCAAAATAGGATCTTGAGTTCATCCCACTTGAATTTAAAAATTATCTTAAACATAGGTTTGAAGCGTCGAACACTAGTGATCGAAGACCAGATGGACATCAAGGATATCCTCCATGAAGAGAGCAGAGTCATTACAAAGGCAGAGGAGAAAGGAAAAACCAAATTGCATGTCAGGAGAGACTCTGACAATTGTACTCCAGCACAGCACTGAGAAGCCCAAACAAAGGGAAGAGATGTTGAAGTGAAAGAGCTGAACAGAAAATTTCAAAAGGCAGCTCGAGTAGACAAAGCAAAGTGATAAGATGGAATGTGCAGTGAGCAGAAATTGGAGACTAAAAAGGCAGGAACTTGTTGATTGACATTTCTCAAGCAGAGAGAACTGAAAAAGAAATTCAGGTCTTGATTTCCAATAGTGAGAGATGCTATGAACAAACCTTGAATGGCCCAGGAAGCATCAAAGAAGATGGAAAATCACTGTACCGAAGAGAACTGCCTGACACTGAACTATTTCAGAAAGTATCATATAATCAAGGGCCAGAGCTAATGAAGGAAGAAGTTCAAAGTACACCGAAGACACTGGCCAAGAAAGAAGGCCCCAGCAATTGATGGGATACCAATTGACTTATTTCTTCTAACAGATGTAAGCTCTGGACATGCTTACTGGTCTATGCTAGGAAATTTGAAGGACAGCTGCCTGGCCAACTGATTGGAAGACATTGATATTTGTTCCCAGTCCCAGGAAAAGTGACCCAACAGAATGTGGAGATTAATGGACAATATTGGTAATACCACATGCAAGCAAAATACTGCTGCTGCTGCTGCTGCTATTTGTGCTATCAAGTTGCTTTTGGCTTGTAGTGACCCTGTGCACCCAGTCCTTAGCCTGTTTCACTGTCTCCGACACACCTAACCCCATTACTCCAGTTACTGAGTCAGTCCATCTCATCTAGGATCTTCCTCTCCTACCTTGTCCCTCTACCCTTCCCAGCTTGATGTCCTCCAAGAACTGGTCCCTCCTGGCAACATACCCAAAGTATGTGAGATGAAGCTTCAAGATCCTTGCTTCCAGGGAGCAATTTGGTTTCACCCTCTCCAGGACATACTTATTTGTTCTCTTGGCAGTCCATGGTATGTTCATAGACATCTTCTTCAGCACCACAGCTCAGAGACATTGATTCTTCTTCTGTCATCCTTAGTCAAATATAGTACAAAGAGAATTGCAAGTTCAGGCTGGATGTAAAAGAGGCCATGGGGCTAGTGATATCATTGCTAATGTCAGATGAATTCTGGCTGAAATCAAAGAATACCAGAAGAATGTCTGTTTGTGCTTTTTTGACTATGTAAATGCATTTGACTGTGGGGATCATAACAAATTACGGCTAAAATTGAGAAGAATGGCAATTCCAGAATACCTGATTGTGCT